TGACTACGGTTGTGAATCTTGCATCAGTGCTTGTTTTGGTAATTGTGAATTGATTGTCAATCGATTTCCCCCCCAAAAAAGAAACAAAAAAAAGGAAAGAAAAAAGAAAACAAACGGAACAGCGCAGCTCTGCTGGCTGCTCAAGATGGATATCTCCGGACTGCCGCTGGGGACCACCTTTTTCATCTTGTACAAAAGAATAAAAACTAAATTTGGTTTAGTGAATGAAAAGCCCCACTTACCTACCGCTACTCCTAAGGCTATACAGGCAAACCTGCAAGCATAGTATTCTACCTCTCCTCTGTGAAGGGAGGTTACATTGCTCGGGGGAGAGAGGTAAGGGCTTGTGTTCCATGGCCGAACGCCTGTTAAAAAATATGAGAGGTGAGAGAAAAATATGACTGTCCCCCAATGAAGAGAAGGCAGCTTTTTACAAAAAAAAGAGTAGTCCCACTTACCCTAATCCTTCATTTCTGACCGTAGATTGAAGACATCGAAGTCAGAATTGAAGAATTTCTGCTAGTGGGACCTGGCTCCACGACTGTGGTACACATGGCCTTCAAAACCTGTTGTGTTCGTTTGACGGAAAGGTCGACAAAGAAAAATAGAAGCCAGACGATTAGAGGAATTCTTCTTCATTTCTGATCGTTGATTATGAAGATCCACGGCTGTCGGTAGGGATCCGGCCATGAGAAGACGAGAGTGTGCAAATGCTGCTTGGCAGCTACTTTTTTTTCTTTTTTTTTTTAAAGTGAGCTACATTCTTCTCTCAAATTTCACCGGAACCCATAGCAGCCGGAACTGTGTTCAGGAGAGAACATGCGGGGCCTGCTCCCACCCAGGGGACAGCCGGTAGCATCAGCGACCATGCCAACAAGACAATCCCTCTGCCTCCCGTAAGGTCCCCTCCATCAGACTCTGCTCAATGCCAATCAGGGGATCCAGTGGTCATCTCTAGGTGGTGGGCACCAAGCATGCCCAGGAAGGTACATGAGGCCAATGGAGATTGAACCCACGACCTCATGAATGCCACTTGCAAGCCTTTCCTTTTTTTTAAATAATCTGGACCATTTTTCGATTTCAAGTTATTTATACGTGTCATCCTCGCGCAGGGGCATTGCTAATCTGCTAACCTTCTCTACCAACTCCCACCATGATGGTGCTTTGCAAGCCAGCGGATGCACACTACCACCCCCCCGGCAGGGGCCAAAGACCCCGCAAACCCTCTCTCAACCTCGCGATTTAGGGTGCTCCACTTCCCCAATCAGCATCAGCTTCACCGCCCTCCATGATGAAGTCCCAGCAGAGGTGCGCTGAACCATCAATCCCTTAAAAACGGACGAAAACAATCCCCAAAACGAAGTGCAAAAAGACGCCACAACAACATGTACAACCAAACCAACACAAACACCCTACCTCCCGCACAGCAGGGACCACGACTCTACAAGCCCTCCGACCTCCTCGCGACACAGGGCGAACTGCTCCACAATCCGCTGCTTCTCCCTAAGAAACCCCACGGCCCACCATGACGGGGTTTCTGCAGAAAGAAGCTCCCCCATTCATCTCCCTGCTAAAACTATGCAACAACACAACAAAGGGAACAGAAGGACCAAATAGAATGCCTAAAATGGAACAAAAGCTATTACCAAACGAAAGCACAATGGACTGCCTAAAATGGAACAAACGCTATTACCAAACGAAAACACGATCAAAATGATAGTCGCAAACACAAGTAGGTCTACTCACCCAAAACACCTCTCTCCCACAACAGAGGTAGACCCCAATACTAACGACACTCCATCAACAAGACGTCAAAAAAAAACTCCCAGCCAAACATGGAGAGAGATTAAAACCACGGCGCCCAGCCAATCGTCATGCCTAAAACGGCAATCACAAAACGGATGTCCCGAAGGACAATGATGATATCTCAAGGCCGTTACCCTCTTTTAAAAAAAGAGATGAAAAAAAAAAGAAAAAGACGGAACGAGTCTTTTTGGGCGGCCCTCTTCCCCGCTGTGTCTGTCGTACTGCAAATTAACTACACAGCACCGTCCCCTTACCACCGAGGCGAGCACAAAACTCGGCCATTGGCTCTGACGTTCCAGTCGCAATATATATATAAATAGAAAAGGCTAATTCTTTAAGCCTGACCAATTCAATTGCCTGTCGAATCTGGACAGGATGGCCTTTCAGGCCTTTTTTATTGTCATTATCAGGGTTGCCAGGCCGAGCGTACGGAGGCCCCTAAGCTGACCCCCGAACGTTCGGGTGTTCGGGTCCCCGTACGGGGCCCGAACCTGCAGGGGTTCGGACCCTGCAAAAAAATATTTTGGCACCTACATATTATTTTGTTTTTTCTGAATTGTTTTCTGTGAGTTCTTTGTGATGTAAGGTATCTCCCTCTTAATTTTGAAGCCATTCTGTTGAGCCAAAAAAAAAACGAAAAATCGACAAAGATGGTGGTGTCAAAACTTACTTGCCCACTCACTAATTTCTTTTCTCTCTTTTCACTTTTTGTTTTTCCTCTATTTCGGGGCATCGAAAAAAATATTATTTTTTCAAACTTTATTTGTAGATTCTATATTATGTAAGATACACACATATAAATTTTCATTGCTTTTGAAAAAAAAAGAAAAATCGCCAAAGATGGCGGTGTCAAAAACGTGCTCGCCCACTTAATAATTTCATTCTCGTTTTATTTTTTCCAATTTTCATTATTATTATTTATTTTTAGTATTTTGGTTTTTATTTCGAATTTGGTAAAGAATTTGGATGTAACGTTGAGGCAAATGTTGTTCAGTTTACTCTTCTGCATAACATTTTTGTTTTTCAGATTTTTTGGAATTCGTTTTCCTTTTTTTTTTTTTTTTTTTTTTTTTTTNTTTTTTTTTTTTTTTTTTTTTTTGTGGATCTGCGTTCGGCCGAATGGCCGAACGCGTCGAGAGGGGGTGCCAAACGTTCCGGCGTTCGGGTTCGGGCGTTCGGCCCATCCCGAACGCCGGCAACCGTGGGGCCTGGGGCCTCGACCCACTAGCATCGTTTAAAACGGTGTGTGGCATTTAAAATCGCATAAACAATGCTATTTTTCATTAAGGCAGTAGCAAAGAAAAGGACCCAAAAAACAAAAAATTAGGGGAGCTGGCATTGACATCATGACAGTTCACCCTATGCATCCACACTTCCACCAACCCGGTACATCTGCATGCGAGCTTCCCGCCGGCCTGGTCGCAGTTTTCCACGGAAATCTCAATATTCTCAATTTCTGCAAAAAAAAAAATAGCAAGGCGCGAAGCTTCAAAAACACCCCCCCCCCCTAAAAAACCATAGTATTGAAGCTTCACGCCAACGCAAAGTGGCCAACTAAATGGCCAACACATGATTTAAAAAAAATTCTCCTGGCCCATGGGCAGCTGCCTCCACGAAAACAAAGGCAATCGACACTAGCAGTCGATATGCTACTGGATCAACTACTGACGGATGTCACGGATGGCCGCACGTGATCGAAAACGGAGGAGCACAAGCCTAAATCGGACGTAGTGGGACGAGGCCCCTGGACCCACTAGCAAGGTATTCTACCACGCCGTTCAGGATTTCGATCACGTGTGGCCTCGAGTGCCTCGGCACGGCCGTCGAATACATCAGCTCTATACGTCCAGGCGGGGACTGTAAAGATGCCCACCTCCGTCCAATGACATGCGTCCAAAACAAAGAAAAACAAAATTGGACATGATAGCTGGTGGCTTTGCATGGGTGGGAAGTCTGGATTTAATTTGCTGGAAAGGGGGGGGGTTGATTTCCAGACTTCTTTTTTTTTTTCTTTGGCTCTGAGAAATAGAAGTTGAAATGTGGGATTCGAATATTGTGGTGGATCTGACAGGAACTCTTCCGCGTCTGTCGGATGGCCTGCTAGAGGCATCATGAGATACATGGCAGAGAATGTATCCCAGTTCCCGTTACTTGTTCATCCTTGTGAATGTGTTCGTGGACACATTCGTGGACACATTTTATTGCCACCGTACATCACTATGAAGACTTACGTGAAGGAGATCGTACCAACCCATGAATTCGGGTGCGCAGCTGTTCTTCTTTGTTTTATGTGCCATTTCAATTCATTAAATCAGAAAACCATCCATTCATGCAAAAAAAAAAAAAAAAAAAAAAAAAAAACCCATAAAACTGCGTCACACGTGGTAGAATACTTCGCTAGTGGGTCCAGGCCCCTGGAGCATGGTCCCATTAGCAGTCGGATAGGAGTCCAGGCCGCTAGAGCATGGTCCCATTAGCAGTCGGATAGGAGTGTGGCCGATCCAGTGTGACACTCAGTGGCAGCAGCCTTACAGGTTGAGAAAACAGGAGAAAGGCAAAAAAAAAAAAAGAAACAGAGACGCAGAGTGCTTCCCAGCCATCAGATCACAAATGATCTGATGGTGGTGGTTGCAACAACAGTGAACACAGTAACTGCCACATTTTCTCGAATACACTGGACTTCTGTCCACAGTGATCATGACACCCTCCACATACTCCGTGATCGAAGGGGGGCTCCAACCAATGAGATAATTGCACAACAGCAAACAAAATACTGAAAATCTTCTATCCAGTGGGCCTATGGCCGACCCCACTCTCTTTTGGGGTTGGCCATACCCCCAAGGGATTGAAAAGATTTTGGCGGGAAGCAAATTTTCAATTTTGGCGGGAAGCTTCCTTTGCACCGGCATGCCCAGTGTTAAGGAGAGGAGGAGGGGAACCAAGATCTCCTTACTTTTTTGGGTAATACTGTATACATGTAAAATACTGACCCTGGGATCACGAGTACTACACCGCAGGATTTGGGTCACCCAACTGCCACACAAACTCTTTTTTATCCTATCCGGTTGGTAGTGGAACCATGCTCGGGGAGCTTTTTTTTTTTTTTTTTTTTTTTTCCAATGCTCGGGGAGTTAGAAACACGAGGGGAAAAAAAACCTTTGGAAAAGAGAAAAAGGGAGACTGATCACCATTGCCACCGGTAGCGTTGTTGATTTGGCCTCGCCTCCCTACCCTAGAGGAGCCACTGGAGGCGGAGTACATGACTGGCTGGCAATCAAGAGAGAGGTATTTCGTGGGTATCGAGCGAAGTCCATCACCATTACCTTCCGATTGCGTCACGCACTCGCTGCAGACTACGACTGTTCTTGATTGCAACTGCCACCTGTCATGTGGCCCATTTCCGCCAATTGCCACCTGGCTAATATACTATAGGGGTACCGGCAAGTGCCACCTGGCTAATATACTATAGGGGTAACTACCGGTCGGGAGCAGTCATGATTTCCGTTTAAAATGTAGTTCAGGCATCCCTCGAATACAACACATCCGCACCCGACCCCGAAGCTAGGTTGCATACATCCACTATTTTCCTCTGTTTGGCACCACATTCGCGAAATGTGACCGAAGCGCATTTTTCAAACTGAAACCGTTACAGCGCCCTCAGCGCGCTACCGTAGTTTTTTTCTTTTTTCTTTTTTTAAAAGGCTAATTCTACCTACCGTAGTTTTCCCTATACTATTTAACCTGAAATTGCCACCTACCATGTGGATCACTCTATGAACTTCAGCCTAATATTACAAGCGAGGGCAGAGGACATTTGGCCACCTGGCATGTAGCCTATCCATTTATTCCTTGAGCTTATGTCGGAAATCACGGTAGAAGCACATTAATTTTGGTCTTCGATTTCAATTTAAGACGCCAACTGTAAGGTATTGCATTGTTTTGGGTCCATGGTCCGATCTCAATAATCGAACACGTGACCTCCCTCATGGGGGTTGCACGCTCAACCAACTGTCATGAAGATGGTTTTCTTCAGACTAACCATGTTTCACTAATCACGGCAGAGGACGACTGGTCTTGATTGCAATCGCCACCTGTGATGTCGCCTCGTTGGTTGCATACCGCTTGTAAATCTGGATTAGCTTGTCTTCCATCCTGAAGCGTCGCTTTCACACTTGGATGGTCGACAATCGCCGATCACCACGTGCGAAGTCGTCCGAAGTCCGATGTCTCACTAATCACGGCAGAGGGCGGTTGGTCTTGATTGCAACTGCCACCTGCGATGTCGCCTCGTTGGTTGCATACCGCTTGTAAATCTGGATTAGCTTGTCTTCATCCTGAAGCGTCGCTTTCACACTTGGATGGTTGAGAACCGCCGATCGCCATCTGCGAAGTCGTTCGAAGTCCGATGACGGCGGGATAGACAAGTTTCGGTAATGCTCTACAATGATGCTACGAGCTGCTACCCATGGCGCCAGTGCTATGTCTACGATTCCCAGCTGCTCACCTCCCATGAAGAAGGAGCTAGTTGGCGATAATTCCACCATCGCCATGGAAAGCTCCTTGAGGGCGCGTAGGTAGTCGGCTTTAGCTTCGTCTTGTTCCTTGGGATCTTGCGTCTGAAGGACGCGGTAGAACGTGGGGACCACCTTCTTTCCAATATGGTCAATCCAAATGCGGGCGAGGGCACGATCGTAAGGCTCCAGTGGCATAAGAGAGCCACGAGGGCGATCGTCGATACCCAAGCTGCCACGTGGAAAAGCCTCGTCCACATATTCTACGACCACCATGGACTCGAACAAACCCTTTCCCTTGTGAACAATGGCAGGCACAAGGCCGCGCGGATTAGCAGCCATCAGTTCCGCGGGTTTCGCATAAGGATCGACTTCAACACATCGGAACTTCACCTTTTTCTCCTCTAGAGCGATCCATGCCCTCTGCGCAAAAGGGCAAAACCACGCCGAAAATAGCGTCACCTCTTCCGTTGCAAGTTTCACCGACATCCCCTCCATGCCTTCGCCACCACCTACCGTTGACGTCTCCATCTCTCTCTCTCTCTCTCCTCGCCCCCCTCCTCGCCCCCTACGCGGCTCTCGGTTGGTCTTCACGCACTAACAAACGCCGACACCACGCCTACTCTCTCTCACCGGCCACCTTTTCTTGTCGCTATACTCCAATTGAATTGTAAGTGCAGTCCGTCTTCACACAGCCAAACACGGAGGGCCTCCCCACACCACTCTCAGAATCCCAGAATTTGGTAGTCGACTCGCCTTCAGGAAATCCGACCCAAAACCTCACCATAAGCCTGGCCCCGTCTCACCACTCGCCAAAAACGCCCAGCATCCGTGTTGGGTGATGGGTGAGTGTGGTGGAGCGGCCTGCACACGGGGATCAACCTCACCCGTTCTATGGACTAGTTCTCGTGGGCGTGAGAAAAGGCGTGCACTGGAACGGCCCGGAACGTGGGTCTCGGCACGTTGACGACCACCCACTTGTGGCGTCCCCACAGCACTCTCGAAACGGGCTTTTTCAGAGAGGTGGGCCTCGCCACATGGTCTCTCAAAATTCTGGCCCAGAAAATTTGTGGAGTGTTGTCAGGAAAACCGTTGAGAGTTAGGGTCAAGCTGCACTACTGTCCACTCCTCGAATTTGGAGAGTGTTTTATAGTTGCACTAACTATCCGATCCCCCCCGGAAAAGCCTTCAGATAGCCGTCAGAAGCTGCCTTGGAAAAGCGCTGGTGGAGAGTGCCCAGCCTGTGACAATCTATCTTGTGATGGGCGCGACTTTATGCACGGCCGAACCTCGGGCGGTCGGATGGGCCTAAGGGCTAATTGCATGAATGCCCCCATTCCTTTTTTCCTCGGTTTTGCGAGAACTTGGTTCCCCAGCTGATTGTGGTCAGGACGAGCCTTAGCGGGCGCAGGAATATCGGTTGACGCGGCCTTTTCTTTTTCTTTTAGGAAATTCGGGCAGGCAATTTCGGCGCGATCATTGCGCGGGCGAACCTTTTGAATTTTTGAACTCTTTGGAGAGCGTGCGGGGAACCGTGCATGTATTCGGATTTTCTTTTTTTTTTTGCAATTAGAACTCTAATTAGACTAGGATTTTGGGAACACCGCTTTTGGTTGTAACTGCACATGCTCCTTACTCGCATGCGCCTTGCTGCGCTGTGTCTTGCACTCTGTTCCCGCCGCGCCTCTTGACTTCTCTTCGCGCTGAAACATCCGGTCCCTTTCCTTTCGTCTCATTGGCCAGAACGGTGCATGACTGGATCGATGCCTGGACAGTGGCTACGCCCCCCTCGCCGCGGCCCAGGCATGCCGACCGTAGGCACCTTCTTCCTTCCTCTCCCCCTGCTGTGACGCCCAACCTCACGCCCGGCGCGACTTCCTGATCGGAGTGGGATGTGGGCCTGGAAGTGCGAAAAGGGGTGTGCCAAGGATTTTTGGGAAAGTGGGGGTGGAGTCCCAGGTCGGACCTGAGATCTCTTGTGGCAAAAGCTTCAGGGGCATGGATGCAATAGGGTTAAGGGGGCGAGTTACTTCCGGTCTGATGGCGTTCGGTGTCGTGCAGCATAAGGCAGATGGCCTGCGCGGTGCATTCAAGGCTGTCCGATTCGCCTGTTTTGGTGGCGGCGGTTCGGGGAGAGGCCCGCCCGGGATAGTTGTGTTCCCGATGAGTCGGACCTTTGGGTGCAAACACGTGCCGTCCGTCGTTGCGCGTTTTGGTTAGGTCCTCTAGTGTCAGGGGCTCGTCGGTTGCCGCGTGGCCGGCAATTTCCGCAAGGCGTGCGAGGCCAGTACGGGGCGATGGAATTCAACGGAACCACCGTGAGTTGGTGATACAGGAGGAGGAGACGGAAGAGAGGGAAATTGGTAGTGATAACAACGAAGCCGGGGGATATGAAGTATTGCGTGTTATCGGGGCACCTCGGATCGCTGGTTACGGCACAGTGAAACTCCCTGGAGCACAATCGATTCTCGGTTAGGCAGGGGAATTCCGGGTATCTTTGCCTAATGCATTCTCTCACCCAAGGGTCGAAGTACTCCGAGTCCCAGGAGCTCGGCATCTTATCATTGCGGTGTGATGGAGTTCTTCCGCACGCGTCTAACCGGCAAGGGGATTTTCCGATGTGATATTCGGAACTCCTATCCGTTTAGGTGCGTGGGGGAAGGAAAATTCTCACCTACCCGATATCGAAGGTGTCAAACTCGTCAATGGTCGCGAATCGGCGTGCGTGGATACGTGTAGGCTGTGCAGATCAGATCGCGCTTACACGCATCCCCGCGAGGTATTCGCTTGTTTCTGGACAAACAACTACCCCATTCATCTAATTACTCTGTGATCTCATACGCAATCGTTCCTGAGCATGCAAGGTGCTATTACACATCAGGCATCGCAGCAACAACAGTGGCTCAAAGAGGATAAACAACAATGGAAGTAGTAATGACGACTACGCAGAAGTTTCTACTATGCTCATGAGTGTATCAAAATGACAAGCAAAGGCAAGGACCAGACAAAAGAAAAGCAACAGACATGACATTCATTCATCCATTCATTCGAAAATACACACAACAAACGAGATCGAGATCAATCGCAGAACGAGTGTGGGTCGAAACTGAGACAAGAATTTCGAAAGCAAAAGAAAACGGGTGAGTCGCCCTGAGCCGAGATCAAAATTTATATACAAAAGCAAAGAGGGAGGAAAGACAAAGAAAACTGCAAATCCACGTTCATCAACCTCAGCTCCCTCTTCCTCTCTCTCTCTCTCCCCGATGCGGACAGTCCGTCGCCACACACCAACCCACGAAGTCGTCACCCTGCTTAGTCCTCCTGCACCCGTCAGGTTCGCCCGCGCGCTGTAGTAACCCCACGCGTCAACCCCGCACATTCGGCACCAGCTCGTCGGGTCGCCCGACTCCCTCTTCAACTCACCTCTTACTTCGCTCGTGAGCCGACCCTCACTGATCGCGCTACCCCGAGCTTCCAACAACAAGTTAAGAGAGCTATCTAATCGCGCAGCCATAATTTATAGCGTGCATGCATGCGCGAAGAACACGAAATTGCAAAGACATAGAAAGGAGATTAAGAGAGGGAGCGCCTACGTTCTGCATGGCCAGATCGCGGCGTGGTGGACGTAGCCACTCTCCACTCATCGATCCGAGCATGCAGGCCGCGGGCTAACTAGGCACATCAAAAGGGAAAGGGAGAGCGGGAAAGACGAAGCTCAAGAAGAAAGATACAGTTATAATGGCGCCTGCCCAAAAATTACAGTTATGTGCAAAATTAAGGGCGCCGACTAATCAGAGCTCCATTGCAACGGCAAAGAAACGCGCAAGAAAAGACAATGCACGGCAAAAGAAATCCCGAATTCCTAAATTTCTAGCTAATGCAAAAAGAAACACAAATTTCGAAAAGAAAATCCGAAGTTTCGAGAGTCGTCAAGGGCTCGATAAAATTCGAAAAAGAAATTAAAAAAGAACGAAGCAAAATTTTCGCGCGATCTCCACGCTTAAAACCCGACAACAGAACAAGAAAAAAGCGATGTTAAACATTATTATTCGCGCCTTTGCCTGCGCGACAGCCACTCAATCGGCCCTCTCGAGACTTGCCCGGCCCTGAACCCAGCCATCCGAAAAAAAATGTCGCAAAGAGACGAAGAAGTGAGGCACTGATGCAATTTCCCTTCGATCCCAATCTCTTGTAATTGGCCCAACCTTCCTATCTTAGGACCCCTCATTGTCATCACGCAGAAAATCGCGCGGAACAGAAATTGGTTTGTCACACTGCCTTAGCGTAATCCCAGCTATTTCACGCAAATGCTAACTGATATAAATTTCAGAAGCGCAAAAAAAAACCTCTCTAATCTAAACTTGTGGAGTTAGCGAGGTCGGGAGGATCAGCTAACGAGTGTGGGCATGAATGAAGGTGAATTCGGGGTTGGGCGATCTGACGAGCTCATGATGAGTGTGCGGGGTTGACGTGTGGCCGCGACAGACTGCAGGGCACGAGCGAACCCGACGCACGTACTCGGGCAAAGCGGGATGACAACTCTGGGTTCAAGTTGTTGGCAGGTGCGAGGCGACGAACTGCCTGCATCGGAGTGAGGAGGGTGGTGAAAGTGGTGAGAGCGCGTGGGGCGTTGAGGTGTATGTTGTCTTCTCTCCGTGCTTTCTAAGACGCTCAACCTCACGCCATGCGCTGCTTCCCGGTCGGAGTGTTTTGGTTTGCGGAAGGGCCCCGGGAGGTCAGCAAAGATGGGTCCGGGGTGTGCCAAGGATTTTTGAAAAAGTTGAGTGAGGGACACAGACAAAACTGAAATCCCCCGTGTTGGTTCGATTTTAGCAAGAAGGAAGTCCGTTGCCGCACAGGTTTAAGGGAGAAAAAGGCGCGCGCAGGACTCGCGGCTATGAAAAATTAAATCCAAAAAGTATCGTTGAACTTCCCAGCGAGCCATCGTTCTTCGTTTCGTGTGAAAGAGGGCGGGTACACACGTGGTATCCCGTGTACGGGTGAGGTCTCGTCGACACTCGTTACACAACTCCGAATCCGACGTGAAGGGCCTCAATCGAGTAACCCTCTCCTTATGCTCGTCCTCGCCACGTGTGCGGTAGTGCAAACCCTTGGCTTGGTAACACTCAAAGCGGGGACAATCACTGCACAGATTGTTAGGCCAATGAGGCTCTACTGTCGTCCATGGGACGACGATCAACTCGTTAAATGACAACAACAACGAATAGGGCGAAAAATGTGTACAATAATAACACAACCCGTACCGGCGAATCCAGAACACCGAGTTTGGGGAGGAAAGTAGTAGTGCCCTCCGATCTTGGTGACAACTTCTTGTACGTCCCACTCACATACACGTATCCTTTCCTCGTTGTACGGGAAGGGACGTGGCGGGGGCACGGGAAGTTGGCGGCCGGTCGGGTTGAGGCCGTTAGTCCACATGGCAACAAAAGCAAGTACAAAATAATTTTTTCCTTAATCATACATTATTCGTTGACAATCCAGGCAGCCAGATCATCCATTCGATCAGCTAGCCAATCATCCTCCCAATCATGGTACAACAAGCTC